TGTGATGGGAGACAGTGTCAAAAGCCTTGCTGAAGTCCAGAAAGACAACATCCACTGCTCTGCCCTCATCTACCCAGCCAGTCATTCCGTCATAGAAGGCTATCAGATTGGTCAAGCATGATTTCCCTTTGGTGAATCCATGCTGACTACTCCTGATCACCTTCTTGTCCTCCACATGCTTAGTGATGACCTTCAAGAGGAGCTGTTCCATCACCTTTCCTGGGATGGAGGGGAGGCTGACAGGCCTGTAGTTTCCTGGCTCCTCCTTCTTGCCCTTTGGGAAGACTGGCGTGACATTGGCTTTCTTCCAGTCCTCAGGCACCTCTCCTGATCTCCAGGACCTTTCAAAGATGATGGAGAGTGGCCTAGCGGATCTAGCCATAAAAACACTTTTTCTAGCCATAAAATCTAGCCATAAAAACACTTTTTCCAGGTAGAATTACTCTGAAAATTGGACTTAAACAAAAAATCAGCTTGGACTCCACATAAATTTTGACAAACAAACACACTTCTCCAAAAGAAAAATCCAGATGAATTCACGTATTAGTGTCAAACATGCATCTGTTACCCAAAAATCTAGAACTGTAAGGCAAAAGAACCACTGAAGCTTTTTGTATGCTTACTTACATTGAATAAAACATACGAGGACTATATGAGACTTTGTACAGTGTGATCACTAGCTCTGTTACCTCAGTGGTCTCCAAAACTCACTGGCTCAAGATCAGTATCATATCCAACTTCCCTCTGTTTTGCTGTAGTTTAAGCAGCATTAGATTATTCTGGAACCGATGTTAGCCATAGTTTAATCCAGAACCCAGAATTAAGATTGTCAGGTTTCCTTTAAGCTTTTTATGAATTCATAGCACAAGGTCAAAGTAGAATACTGAAAAGGGTTGTTCTTTGTATTACATGACAATTCTTTTAAGGAGTTGGATTTGAAGTAACACTTGTAGAACTAGTCTCCTAAAATGCAAGTCAGCTATATGGGTTTATATATAAACAGGTGGTAATTACAAACAATGTGTAATGAAACTATCCAGCAGAAAAGTCTCACCATCCAAAGATTCTCAAGAGATCAGAAGGATGGAACACTACATAAGCACCTTTAAGGTGTTCAAAAAAGCTCAGATTTTTGGTTGTTAGACTGGGGAAAATTCCTTCTTCCCTTCTTATTTCAAATGATAAAGTGTTTCTATGTAAATATATTAAAAGAATCACCTACTTTTGGTGGATACTAGGCATAAGCGGTTTTTAGACCAAGAAATCAGTTTTAAGAGATAATGAACAGTAAGAAAAAGGTTCAGGCCTTTTCATGCCTTGAAGACAAAATTTATTTCTATATGAATTAGATGCAAAACGTTTTGGAGAAAGAACAGATAAAGGGAGGTACAAAGTATTTAAAATCACTTTAGCAGGTGAAAAGAGGTACTGGGTCTTTATAGTTATAAAGACCTATAGTTATAGGTCTTTATGTTGCCTTCTTTATGTGGTCCCAAATGGTATTATCATTGATGCTATCCCTCTGGTGACTTCCCTAGAGCAGGTGCATGCACTTCAAGAGGAAAATCTATCCTGATATCTTTCAAACAAGAAACTTAGTGACATAAGAAATATCTTGGGCTTTTTTCAAATACAGTGCAACATCCACAGATGCCTTCCGCACCATACCACTGCTATAACTACAATTTCTTCATTATGTGGCAGGTTTCAAGTAAAGCAATCTAAAGGTTTGTAACTTCACTTGACTTATGGTTGTGTTATAATATTTCCTCCGAAATGGATTCAAGTCTTCAAGAATTAAAAAGTTCATATTGACAAAGATTTGGAGAACTGAGACACTAGTAGATGTGGAGCAAAACTTATCCTTACACCCTTTTCATCTTTAAAAACATACTTCTTTCAGCCAAGAAAGAAGATAGAACAGCAAACCAAATAAAATATATTTACTACACAATTAGAGATATACTGACTTGGATACAGATGATGGCAAAGCAGGTTTCTCTGGTCGTTTTGGGTGCAGAAGCCCTGTTCTCAGTAAGTTATTAGTCTTGCTTGGAAGACTAGGCTTCTTGGGTGGTACTTGAGGAGCAACTGGCTTAGAAGGCTTCTGGTCCAAGGCTCCTTTTTCATCTGACAAACACATCACCAAAACATTAAAAAAACAAAAAAAAAAGGACGTTATCTACAGCACTTACAATACTAGTCAATTAAAAAGCAAACGCTGTCAGAAATACTTTCTTTGGAGATCAGATAAAAGTGAAAAATACATATCTAACTGTCTTAAGTGACACCTTATCAAAGCACACAAAGCACTTACCTGAACTTAAAAAAAACCAAATGTTATACAAATGCAAGAAAAATTCCTTTTGACGTGAAACAGGAGTAAGAAATTCTAGATTCACATTGCCACACTGCAAATGACAGCTAACAAATAAAAATCTCTGTACTACTACTGTTTTGCCTTTTTATGAATTTACCACATATCCTCTTATTTTTTTAAACTAGGCTTCTTCCAAGTACACAAACAGCAGAACTGATCTCTGGAAAAGGACTTATGTGTATCAGATTCACGTTATCTGGGATTAAAACTATCTTCCTACAAGTTCAAGGGTATAAATTAAGTATAGAAAACAAATAAGTTAAACTGTTACTGTCCAACAATTGTATAACCTATTTGAATAATCTCAGGAGGAACTGACCAAAATATAACTGCACACAGTACTCAAAAATTCAAGCCACTTCACAAGCACTAGTTGAATAATCTTCAATCCACTTTCTATAATCACAGGCTGTAACGTTATCCTGCGTGTACTTTCTACTTTTCTTCTAGGGAGCTGGGGTTGGGGCTGAAAACTTGGTTCAGCTCCATCCCATTTTAGCGCTTGATCTGCTAGGTCTGTAACTAACTTCCTCTGGACAAGCTCTCCAGCATGTGTGTGTCAGCTCTCCAACTGTAAAATGGGAAAACAGTATGACATTCACAGGAATATAGGGAGGCGACCCAATTATAGAGATACTTCAGCAAAAGCCATTTAGTAGAATATAATTATCCTCCTTCTTTGTAATTTCTGAACGTTTGAACGTACAAACATACAAATTAAACTTGTTGGCATCCCCCTTCAGCCTTTCTCAGTGTCGAGTTTGAAAAAAAATTGTATTAAAGTAGGGTGACAATACACAACTTAGCCACATGGTGGTGCTGACTGACAAAAAGCACCTTTGTATTCTGTTATTGAGACAAGCTTCACCTACATCTATTGATTTTACATACAACATTTCAAATTTTAAATGGCCAAGGGTAGCTAGTATTACTGGAGATCAATTACCTAAATGTTATTCAGCAAAAGCTAAAAACAAGACACCATTCTTACATCTTAAGAATAACAAAGAATAGCTTCTGAGTTCACATGAAGGGCAAAAAAATGCTGTCATTAAACAGTATTGCTGAATTATTATAATCTGATAGCTTTCCCTTGAGCTACTTCAACTCAGAATCCGAATATAAATTTGGGCCACAGTGAAATGGAAAAAGTTAATACCAAAGTTCAAGATTAATCATGAATACAGAAATCTGACAATTCTGCTGTACAAAGTAGCATACCTTTTTGGTATTTTGCTATACAATGAAAGAGATAAGGTTTGGCTTAATGAGCACTTTTGTAAGGGAAATAAAAATATCAACCTGAAACATTTTACATTTACATCAAACAAAATTACCAAATGGCTTAATGGTACTAAATGCCCTTCACTATAAACATAGCAATATTTATGAAAGCATAGTTCTTAAAAATCCTGTCAGCCATTTTCTCCCCAGAATTAAAGATAGAGTAATTAGCCTTTTGCTACATTGTTCAATAGCTTGCAATTGGAGCTGCTCAGTTAATGTTTTCAGTAAGACTAATCAAAATACAATTTCATATTTAATGAAACTGATCATTAATATTAGCACAGTTATTTTGCAATAGAAGTATCAAACTGCACTGATAAATAGGAGTTTATTTCTAGTAAAATGTTACTGTTAACTAAATTTTTTAAGGCCAGAAAGAACCATGTACAATTATGCAACCTGACCTTCAAAAGAACACAGGATACAGTTTTTCCTGCACTATTTATTGTGCCACAGAAAAGCATCGTTCTCTACCTTATTTAATTTTTCAGAAGCTTTCACGTTCCTAAGCATTTTGGATGTGTTACTTGATTTTTTTAACATGCTCCTCCATGAACAGTTGGACTCAGCCATGGAAAGGTAACGTCATAGCAGAAAGAGAACCAAACTGAAATTACACTTATCTCAGGATGTTAAACGTCCAAGTGATGAAACCTTCTAGCATCATACTACTGATCGCAATTCCAGTATGAAGATATTGCTCCACAATAAAAATTTACTAAGAAGTACCAGAAAGATAGCTAATTTTAACAAATATTCTTCCTATGAAACACCTAAGAATGCGCTTGGTTTAAATTGTAGGTCATAAAACTGTTCAAAGTCGTCAAGAAACACATGGAGCAAGACTACTTTCCAAAATGCTTCTCAGCAATGTTAATCATCCACACTTCACTACTCATATAATAAAATATCTTTATGTAATATCATTGAGCTGCAATAACATTAAAATTTATTCTTTTAAGACTCATCCAGTATATTTATTTAAGCTTCCGACTTTAACACAATGGAAGTAATTTAACAGATTAAATTGCTCAGTTTTTCAGATATAAAAAGAAGCATTTTAGAAATGTGTTTGGATCACAATAGTTTGATTTTTTTTCCCCCCCTTTCTGTTACTTTCTGATGAAATTTCCTCCAAACCTGAGAATAAATTAGCAAACACCTACAAATTCCGTGGAAGTGGAAATACGGAATATATTAAGAATTAACATGATAAGAAACCTTCATTTCTAAGTACTGCTGACCATAATATCTGTGGTATAAGAGTTCCATATATTTCTTTCAAAAACAATTTCTGTCAGAGACTTATTCTGGCTGAAACATTCAGAAGTAGCAGTAAATATTTTCATTTTCCATAGCTTATTATTGTTATTCAGAATTACCCTCACTATGATAGACTTAAATGAATTAAATAGTAATTATGTTATTATATCTTGCAATAACCTTTTTTCAAGATGAAATGTGCATTTCTTACTATTTCATTACATCAGTGTGCTTCTTCCTCTAATTCAGGACAAGAAGCAACAAGCACAAACTGAACCACAGGAAGTTCCACTTGAACATGAGGACAAACTTCTTTCCTGGGAGGGTGACTGAGGCCCAGAACAGGCTGCCCAGAGAGGTTGCAGAGTCTCCTTCCCTGGAGACAGTCCAAAGCCACCTGGACACAGTCCAAAGCTGCCCGGACAAGATGCTCTAGATGAGCCTGCTTGAGCAGGGGGGTTCGTCTAGATGATCTCCAGTGCTCCCTTCCAATCTTGATGATTCTGTGAATCACTCTTAACATGCTTCAAGAGCTTCATAAAAGTGACAGCTTTATTAGATGGTATTGAAAGAATCTGTATGTCGTCTTCTAAATAGGTGTATATTGCATAGAGCAATTCAGCTAAAACCTGTAACTACTTTAAAAGAACATAGTCCGAAATTCACTATAAAGAAAACTGGTCTTACCTTTTTCTTCAGACCTCAAAGAAAGGAGTTTCTTCTCTCCAGTTGGCAATTCAGGCTTTGGAGCTGAATGCAAAAAACAAACTATAGACATTTCTCAAACAGCTTTAATTATCTTAGTCACTACCTAAAAATGACATACAATAATTTGTGTTTATACTTTCTCCCTTTCAAGGAGTGTAATACCATTTATAAACACTCATTTAAGGCCAGCAAACTGTAGCCCTGTATTTAAAGGATTACAAAGCAGTTTCCATTCATAATTTGGGAAAACACATAAAGCAGCAAAAATACCTAAAGCATAAAAAGTAACCTCAAATAGTGATTAAGGGTGGCTTAGGGTGGTACTAGGAAATACACAACTATGTCTACATACATATATATATATGTATATATGTATACATATACACACACATGAATGACATGAACATATAAAAACAAATAAAAATACAGAGAGAATCACAAACTGTTTCTGAAATCTATTGTTTCCTCGGATGCTGGAATGCATATCTTACATACCTGGACTTTTAACCGGAGGTGGAGGTTTCTTTGGCTTCTGGAAGAAAGAAAAAAAATTATATTCTCTATAGAAGACATAGCTGCTTGCTTTTTGTCTTATATATTGCAAAGTCTAGCTTGTTTACTGGTTAATTACAAAGTATTTTTCAAAGGAGGCAATCAGTTTACAGATACAAAAAGAGAATTGAAATAATTCATCCGATATCTCCCAGGCAGTCAGCTGCAATTCCAGGAACAAGACACAAGTTTCTTCAAATCTCAGACCACTGCTTAAAACAATGTACACAAACAGCAGAGATACAAAAAACTAAAAATTAAGAATAGTCTTTTCTGGTCTAAAAGATTGTTCTTACTGTACACATTTTAATTTCAATTTCAGCACGTAAAATTCTTAACATCGGTTAGTACAGTGTAAGTTTAAAGGAGTAATCAGATCAGATTTGAACTCAATTTGAATACTGAAGAGAAGGTTCTATACTGAAGATAAGAAGAACTATTTCTGTTCATGAAGTTCCAAATTACAATGTTACGAGACAAAAAATAGCTAGCAGTGTTCACAACAAACAGTGCAGTTCCATGAAAAATGTTCCGTTTTGAGCTTCCTTATCAGCTTATGTTCAAATGGAGAAAGATGTACGAACTGTTTAGTTATTAAGAAATTTCAAATTATCACGCCACAGCTTGTGCACCGAAATTAACCCTATTTTAGCAAGCAAGCAGTCATCACTTTCCTTGAACTGGTAAAATGGTCCAAATTTCTCTCCTCTGTGGAAGGAGTACCAGAATATTCAAGATAAGAAATTGCAAACTTCCCCCCACTCCGTTCCCTGGATGCAATTAATGAAAACACTCTAGAAGAGATATCATTTGATTGTACTGAAAAGGACAAGAGTCACCAACAAAACAATTAAAGAAGCCTACTAAACTGATTCTATAAACACTGCTGAAGTTTATGGGGCCAGTCCAAAATACCACTTCTAAAAATTCCTGGTAATGGGTGTTTTGCAAACTGTTGCTATGGACATGGACTTTTCTTTTGTGCCACTGCAACTACTGAATAAGGTTTTCTTAACATAGAAAGATTTTATTCCAACCAGTGAAGCGTAATTAAGCAAGCATGAAAACCCTCATTATTTCTTCCTCTAGTCCCAGGGTAAACAAAAGCCAGTGAGCTCAACTAATGAAACAATATTTTCTTTCTTTTCTGAAAAAACAAATACACTATCCAAGTTTTTAGCAACAAACATGTTCAGCTGGTTTGATGCAGTACTGCTGCCTGTATCAAAACACTTAGATTGAGAGTTCAACATGAGCCTGCAGCTGGATGATTCTGGTTTATTTTTACTAAGTTGATATGAAGTAGCAGACTACTATTATCAGCCACCTAATGTCTTGAACTTCAAGCTTACTCATTCAAGATGAATCCCTGTACTGGGATAGACTGCACACAGCAGCATCATGGATCAAAGCAATGTCTGTCTACAAAGACACTGCTTATGATCATAGAATAATTTCTCTCTTTCCCCAGGCAGCATTTCTGCCGGGTAAGACAGTGGTAGCACCCACCCTCCCCCCTCAACTCTCCATGTTAATACCAAGGCAGAATGCTCCGTCAGCCACATGTTACGGCATTCACATGGTCCTGGCAAAGTGGAGAATCAATCTGAAAAGAGACTGCTGATTTGGACTAACTAGACTTTTTGTACATGTTAAGTAACTGAGGCTAAATGCTAAATCAGTAACTTCCGTAATTTAAAGTTTAACAAGTTACCTGCGGCATCATACCTAACAACCCTCTGTGAATGTCTCAAATTCTAGACCAAATGGCACTAAATGAACATATTTAGATACTCAGTTCAGCTCCCTATATATACACATTAATATTTAGATGCCTCGATCTAGAGCTGAATCCATCCAATCTTGGTAAAACGGTTACGTTAATTCACTGGCATACATCTTCGCTACACAAACTCGTCAGCATCAAAATATCATACTAATCTCAGCAAAGGGATGCGCTACAAGAAAAAAGGTGGACCAGGAACTGAAATTACAAGAGCAAGGAGTACCAAATGAAACGATGGATATCTGTAAGTTATCACAAAAAATGGCAAGGAAAAGAAAAAAAACACACACACACACACACAATTCTAGATCCCAAGCAAAGACTAACCTCCACATACTCTGCAACCTACTGGCAAGTCTTAACATGGATAAATTCCAGTTAGTTCTACAGGAGTCATTCAGCATTTTGCAATGATAGCTAATTATAGGATGGAAGAGACCTAATGTACATCTCCTTTCAAAATAGTACGAATTTAACTCATTAATCAGTTAGACATACCACAACTTCTTTTTAATATGGAACCAGACCTACATTCTTTTCTGTAAGACCTCATCATCATCATTAATAGCAGTTAATCTGAAAAGGCCCATTTCAGTTTAATATTAAAGAAGTTTTACCCAAATGTTAACCTTTATATTCAATTACTCATATCAAAGAAGAAAATTTAAAATTAATAAATGTCAGAATCATACTAATGTTCTAAGTGGCATAACAACCACTGCTTTTATTCCTTCCATTTCTGTTAATACTTTTTTGCAGTTAAAAAAGATACGCATAAGAACTTACAGGGAAGTCTTTATCAGATTCTTGGATTTGAACAGCAAGATTATCTGGGAAGACTCCTTCTTTGCCATTAAGTTCTCCTTTCCACCAGCCTGGCTCTCCATCCTAAAACAAACAATAGATTAGTTCATTCAATTTGTACTCCTTTTGCAGAACAGACACTGTTACAGGAACAATGCCTTTGCTTTTTTCCCTCAGCATAAAACGTTTGTTCATCCAGAATACTGCATTTGTAAGAGGAACACTTTAGCTACTTAAGCGAGTAAAAGTAAGGGGAAACAGCTACAAGTCACATCAGACTTGGTCTTTTTTTCCCTTCTCATAAAATAGAATATGGAGTTACACTACATTACATACACAGCTCAAGACCTACGAGGGGAAGCAAGGTAGGTAAGCAAAGTTAAAAGTAAGTAAAAACAGCTAAGACCCAATACATCACATTCAGTATCCTCAGCTTCCTTGATTGGCACCTTATTCCAATTAAACTCATATTTATTGGATAACACACAATCTACAGTGATTGATTAGATTCACTGGATTGAAAAAGGTGAAGAAAGAACAGGATATACCCTACTAAGGGAAAAAAAAAAAGCAAGTTAAGATGCAAGAAAAATTGGCAAGTAAATTCAAAGGCATAGAAATTACTCAGTATTATATGAACTTACTGGATAGAAGCCTTAATACTTTCAAGCTGATAGTTTTCGTACTGAAAAGACTGAGCAAATTAAGTTACTCAAATATTTTAACAGCATAAAAGCTTTCCTTCCTGCCTTAGCTGCAAAATACATAGATGTAGCTATAGACATTGCTCCATTATACAAGCCTAAATGGATCCCTACTAATGTGCTGCTGTTAACAGCACCAACTAGTTCATTCCAGAGTTCAGCACATACCAAGGCCAATCACCATTCCGTTCGAGAGAGCTGCTGAAACACTGAACAGGTATAGGAAAAAAGAATAATGAAATTAAAGGAAATTTAAAAAAAAAAAAGAATCACATCACACATTAAACTAAGGGAGGAAGTATCAGGAAAAAATATTTAAGCAAGTTACTAATGCTGAAAGTAAAAAAAAGTGCAAGTTTTTTTTTTTTTTAAGGTTTCTTTTTCGCTGTAGTCTTCCAAGTATTTCAGAGGTCGACTTCTGAACAGCGTGGAGTCATAAACTGGGTATGAGGACTATTGCTAAAACTTAGTTCTGGCAGGGCTAAGGTATGCTAGAACATCAGAGAGGGGGAAAAAAGAAAAAAAAAAATTACACACATGCAAAGACAACTCCATGGAAAATAACCACACACAGAAGAAGCAGAAAAAAAATGACACCCCAGTAATAATGGCCTGAGTAATTCATGAACAAAGAAAACACAAATCATAACCTTCTTTATACAAGCCCGTATTTTTATCTCTGATTTGTGTTCAGAAAAAGTGTGTGCTTTTCTGGAAAAAGTGACAAGAAACCTGATGTCTTTTTCCACCCTGCCTAAGCCCAGTTTAGCTAACAGACTGGCAGAGCAGTAATACTCAATGCTGCATTTTTAAATTACCAGACTCTTCCAGAGGGGGCTGAGTGGGGATAGGTGTTATACAAAGCACGTATGCTAGAGGAGAATACCTTAAAATGTATAGTTAAAAATGGAGAATATTTTCTGCATTTGTAGGGCAATCAACTCCTCCTACCTCAGCCCCCCAAAAAGTTACTAAACATGCTAACCTCAGCCCCTTACCCACATCTGCTTTTTGAAAGGGGTGGGGAGGGGGTTGTTTTTACATACATAGGTCATATTCCAGAACTTCTAATCTTTATATGTTTTCGTGAAAAAACAAAGACTTCATTTACACAGTTTATCTAGTTAAAAGGATTAAGCCACACGGACTTTTTTTTTTTTTTTTAAGGGCAATTGCAAAAAAAAAAAGCTTTGAAGAAATTGGAAATATATGGAAGATCTGTCAATGGCTCAGAAATAGGTATGCTAACAGACAGCTACTTTACAACTATTCCCCCTTATTTGTAAAGTCAAAAAGAACAAATTTTAAAGTCAGAGAAGTTACCTATCCCAAGTGATACCTGTGCCTGAAAATTATGACATGAGAAGTACTAACAAGAGCAAAACCCTGGACTGAATCAGTCACCTGATAATTGCATTAATATATTTCAGAATATGGTGAAAAAGGGAGAGCACTGCTGTAAATAACTCTGCCTTGCTGCAATACAAACTAGTATATGCTTCCAGTGAATCAGTTAAAATAGGACAGAAAGGTAAGAGATACAGTAAAGAATTTCCTGGGCCTTTTTTTTTTTTTTTAAAAAAAAAAAAAAAGGTGCCTTCCATAATACTTATTTCCACTGTAATGAAAGTAAGTAATATTGACAGTAACAATTTTGTTTCCTTCAGGGAATGCAGCATTTTGCCATAAACTTAAAATCCTCATAAAGACACATTAAGTGTTAGTGGCCTATAATAGAGGGAAACAAAGTATGTGAAAGCTGAATTCAAATGGGGGAGGGGAGGAAGGCAAAGGGAAGAGAAACTTTCAGTTCTTTCAGACAATTTTAAATTTTTTAATATACCAGCAAGTAGACCGTGACTAACAAGAGACTGCAGACTATAGCAGGAAAATTAAATATGGGTAGGCCCATTCATTGTTTAAAAGTATCTTTGCAAAAATAGGACCTTCCAATTAGGAGTTTTCAATATTTAGCACAAACACAAATACTCCTGTTATTTTTCAGTAAGCAGAAGACAGTATCATTTACTTGATCACTATTCTGAAACAGCAAGTGTTTCTAAAAGCTGCAATTCACTTTTACTGAAAATGTTTATTCGTTTTTTCTTCAGAATAACTAGATTTAAAAACAGTAGGTACAAATCTTCATTTCTCACTTTTTGACACTGTAACACATCCTAACCACCACCTTTAGGTGGGAACTCATTTATCACCAAATAAAAAGCCCAATAAGCCTGCAAGTTAGAAGAACTATTTTCAGAGGTTTTCCAGTTTCATAACAGAAAAGCAAGCTACTTTTGTATTTAGTACACGCTCTTCTGACTAGCTTTTGATGAATTTAAGCTATTTTCCTACTCTGGAAGGATCTTTAACAGCACCTATATCTCCATTGACTATAGGAGTAAAAGATGACCTCACAAGAGTCAAAATTAGACTCTGAATATCCAGCCCAAAAGAATCTCCTGTTCTCACATTTATGCTTCACCTACTTCTACAAAACCTGCAAAAGTTATAAATTATTAAAGCAGACTGAATATCTTACCTTACTGATTATTTGAATAATCTCTCCTTCTTTAAAACTGAGTTCATCATTTGAGCCATCATAGGCAAATATTGTCCTGCAATATTCCTTGGCTGAAACAAAGCAGCACAATTATTACACTTCCATAACATGGGTATTCAGGTTCATAAAAACAGCTCCCTTGTGTTGACTAAAGGAGAGTTCAGAAGTTAACAAACTTCTCTTCCAGACCAGCCCTCTGAGACTGTTCTACAAATGTTCACTGTGTAATTCATATCACAATAAAAAATAACAATATGGTGGTATTTAGAGAGGGGGAGATAAGTCTTTGTGCAGTCAGCGGATGGTGGTCTGACTTCTGAGAGAGAAGCGAGAGTCTAGTCAGTTGAAAGCAAAAGCCTGTCTAAACCTCCCAGTTACATATATATTCCACTTTATCAGCTGCTTTGTTTTTTACTGAGTTTTTTTTTTTTTTTAATAATTTCAGAGTTGATCTAAATTTCAGGTTTACAGTTTTACTTAAATACTTGTAAATATTTAATGGTGACATCCTTTATCAATACATACAGTTACAGAAGTGTCAAATACCCAAGAAGGACATTTGCTGAAACTCTGAAGTCAAGTAACTGAAGGAATGAAATTCCTTGGCCAACCACCTGAAACCAGAGCTCATCTGAATAATTAATTTTGACAGTCAGACTCTTTGCAAAAGCAGAAAGAATAATTCTTTTCTACCTATTTGGTACAGCTCAATAACTACTCCTTTTAAAATTGTAAAAATAATTTCAATTGGAAAAGCAGGAAGGTTTGTTTTTTATTCATGGCAAAGGAAAGCTAGGTGATAAATAAGATCAATTAGTATAGAAGTCTTAATCACAAAACACATTTAGCACCTTATTTAAGCCCAACAAATTTAAAATTTAACACACAAAAAAAGTTGGATTTCTACAACTAACAGCTTAAGGAAGAAGCAGCGAACAAAAGTGTGTCTGCATGACACATCAGGTCTTCGAGGCTGGTAACATGCACAAGGAAGAGGTTGCGTGAACTCCCAGTTAAAGGGTAGTTCAACATCTAGCATCATCACTGCCATTGTCTGCAAGTCAACTCGTTAATGATTGACTTTTGCCGGATGGTAAGAGAAAAAAAAACACAAAACAAAAAAACCTCCACCAAACATAATGAGTTGCATTTAAACTTAAGACTGCAGCCTGTGAAGATTTACAGCATTATAAACAGAGGAATGTTAAAGAGAAGAATACTTTAAATTAAGTGCCAAATATCACATTAACCCTAAAAGAAATAGAACAAACAACAGCTACACTGCAGATATCTATCAAAATCAGGGAATTTTACTCATTAGCCTGGTTTCAAATCTAATACATTTATACACGTCCTGATTTTGTAAAAATATATGCATTTCCTTAATGCGTGGGAGATTTTTGTCAGCGTAGTTGAACTACACAATTCTTCATTTATCTCCTCCTCCATGCACCACCCTCCTGCCTCCGCACACACACAAAAAGCCCCATAATACACAGAAAACTATGTCAGAAAGGGAACTTTTCACTCTGGACCATGATGCTGGGAAGGCTGGAATTCCCAAGTGTGCTGAACTCTGCAGACTGTCAAGTTATCTGTACATGCCGGGCTGCAAGACCTGGCAGTCAGTTCCTCCCAAAAAATTCACCTGGCGAGGCTGAGCCTATTTACAATTTGCCATTCCACCACCTTATTTACCAAATATCGGGCTCACACACTAGTTGAGATGATGACAAGTTTCATTTTCTAGCACTTAAATAGCACACAGTATTTAAAAATAATAATATTAAAACTGAATGTTAGCAGCTATTTTGAATCAAATTGTAGTTTAAAATTACATCTTTTCCAAAGACTCAGGACTAATAACAGTAGCAGAATCATGGATGATGTACTCTAACATAAATGGGGAGGGGGGGAAGGGATCAAATTGTTTTCGTCTTTGGTAGTATATAAAAATATTTTGTTAAAAAAATAAAAAATAAAAGTCATAAGCTTGCCAGAAATAGAAGAGGCACACAAAAAGGCCACGATAGTCTAAACAGCTGAGAGATCTGTTTGTTTTAAACTATGTTAACAAATAATCTGTGTTCAATGTCTCAAAACAGAGGATGATACACACAAGCTATAAGAATAAGGTCTACATTAAAATAAAAACACTAAGAAAGAAAACAAAGTTTTCTTTTGAAGGGTAAACGATGCTCTTAGGCATTATTCTGTTCTCCTACTACATCTTTTGCTAAAATGTTTATGCTCCTTTCAGATTATTTTGTTTTTTTGGGGAGCAGAGGTTGAATCAAACAGCTCAGCATGGCATGGCTACTGGATTAGTCCAACTTCCATACTTTTAGCATGAAATGCATCTGAAATTATGAAAAAAGCTAAATACAAAATGTTTCTTCAATATGGACCTTCCAACTTTATTAGACTTTTTAGCCAGACTTCAGTTAATTTTTATTCAGAAGTTTTAGCCAAGTTAAATTTCATGATGTGCAGTACTGCACACTGTCCTGTTGGCTGTGCAGGAAAAGCATTTACAGCAATAGCACTAGAATGGTTCAAAAGCAAGATCCCCAAACTATTCCGTTTTAAAGTTTAGTAAAGATTTAGAAGTTACAAGTAAGCAATAGCTTCCATCAGTTGAATATATCACACCTAATTTGATTCATTCTTTGCCTTATAATGGCAAAGTTTAATTATTAACTACTATTAGCCCATTACATCAAGCACTCCTAGCAAGTAATCAGGTATTTATAAACGTGGTCATGCTATTTACAGCTATCCAACTCAACAAAGAAAAGTCAGCTAAAATGGCATGGATGCCTTACACTGTTATAGCTACAGATAAGCTAGGGCTTTTACCAACAAATCCAGCACTTAGTGTCCTGTTCTGCTTGATTATGCAGCTCATAAATACAGGGAAAAAGTCAAACATTTGTTTTAGTTTTACTAATTCTGCAAGTTATTCATTCCAAGTGAAATAACCCACTTACATCAAAATAAGGAATTTAAGATGCATTTTTATTTTAATGCCTAAACTACAATAAAGACATTGAAAAAAAGTATCTTTTCTGGAATTAGGCTGAGCTGTCCACAGGTCAGATAACAAAAGTTGATTTTGACACAGGGTTGGCATTCCCACAAAAAGCTTTGAGCTGGCTTAGAGTTTTTTAAAAAAAAAAAAAAATCTCTCTAGTTAAAATTATGCAATTTAGCAGCAAAATGAAGTTATGTTTTAGAAGTAACTTATTTTTCACAGGAGAGCAATAGAAGTGGATTACCTGGAGAACAGACTTCAATGAAATACAATGACTTTACAATTAATACAACATGCACACTAGATACTCCACAATAAATCCTGAAAATAAAGATAATTTTATAGCTAGAGACAGAAATTGAGTAAATGGACTATTCCACAGCTACAGATTTTCAGCATCTCAGCTAAACACTGAAAGCTAGATAGAATGAAGGTCAGTTTAAGTATGTCAACATAGCAAATTAATGTAAAGTAGCTGCTGCAATAAAAATTAATACTCTAGTCTTACTTTCTGCTGGATAACGTCCTCATAAAAATCTCTTTCATTCAGCTTCCACAAAAATGTAAGCAAAAACTCTTTCAGACTACTTTGTCTTTGCAGAACTCCTTAAAGGTAAAAGACATTACACAAGTGCTCAGTATAGAGAAAAGTTTAAGATTTTAAACAGGAAAAACAAAACCTGCTTTGACAACTCTACACTACTCTATAGAGGATGATGAGGTAATAGATGCAAATAATGATTAACCTTACCTTTTGGCTTACTTTCAGGTTCTGATTTTGTTGATTCTGATGAGTTCTCCACTTTTGTGATACTAGGAAAATGCATTAGTTTTGTTCCAGGTGGATGATTAGATGGTGGCTAGAGAGAAACAGAACTGCATTAATAAAAATTCCTTTTCAGTTTTATTTTTAATTAAGCTACCAGACACACTCAAGTTTTCATTAGTCGAAACATGAATTTCTGCCTTTAAGTGATGCGCTAACTGAGATGTTTCCATTAACTATTTGACTTGTTCATTACGGTCAGTGCAATAAAAGTTGTGCCTACTGAATAAAGATGAAGTAGGCAGCTTCCAAACTGGAAGCAAGCCTCAGGACATTGTCAGATATATACAGTCTTGCAATCATATTTGAATATCTTGAGTACAGTTACCCTGAAAGTGCCTGCTTCAGTGCAGAACAGAACTGATTATTCGATACCATTGCTGGAGGCAATTCACTCTAATCATGTTTACTTTGCATTGGAATAAAGCAGGAATATACAGCAACCATACATCATCTCTGCTGCAGAAGCAATTAAGTTTTAACTACTCACAGAGCTGTAAGAGCATTTAAAAGCAGCTGCTCTAAATTCTTTGCACTCCTAGCAATTGTTACAGAACACAAAACAAAAACATTCACTAGAGATTTCTTCTGTACCAAAAAAAACCATGAAGATATCTCAACTGGTACCACATTTCAGAGTTAATATCTAACCAAAACAGTTATTCTGACTTTCATTTCAGATTTACTGAGCTCTCAGGACGATTCAGACAATTTCAGGTACATCTTTTTCTTCACAATCATATGAGCTACAAATGCCAAATGCTATCCGATAATCAGTGCTTACCTGAGCCACCCTAACAGGGTTACTGACGTGAAAAATCCTATTGCCTCTGCTCATTTTCTATTTACAATTAAACATCACAGACCTTCTACCGCCACAGAAACTAGATTTACTCTCCTCAAAAACAGATCTTGTCTGTGGGCTGGTGTTTGATACCTATGACATACCATAGAAGAAGCTTGTCATTTAGGACACTTTTGGAGTGCATATGCAATTTAACTCTCTCCAGAGCACTATATAAAGGAAGCACTAAAATAACCCACCTGTGAGATTAAATACATTTAAAAGGACATGAAAATAGTTTTCTACATCCCTCCTTCCAAAATAAGATGCAATTACAAGTGCAAGAGAAAGTTTAGGTAGACAGAATATAAATAACCTGAATGCAGCCAGGATCCTGGAATTAACTAAAACTTATCTTACTGTAGCTTGCAACAGCACATATGCTCTTGAGCACTTGAAACATATGAGCGCTCTGCCTGCCTGCATTGAATAGTCTCCCAGGCCCTGAGAAGAAAGCTCTCTCTGCTCCAGAATTTCCTAAAGACAACTTTTTCCCTTCCTGGCTTGAAGACGGAGAATGCCCTTCCATCGTCCCTCCACTTAACTACAAAGCGAGTCAAGTACAAATATTAAGAATCCATCCGTCTTAATTAGAATTAACTCCCTGCTGTTCACGTTGTTCTCCGTTTGCCTGTAGGATGATTTTGGCAAGGTACAAAAGATAAGTGGAACGTTAAATGCAAAACTAAACTGTTTATTTCATTGTTTTTAAGCCCTGTAAAACCGTTTTCTCACTTCATTTCCTGCTCTGTTGAGAAACAGCCTGTAACAGCCTGTTACCAGACAAGCCAACTAACAAAATAAAGCGCCAACATATTTTAGTGCTTATACGCAGTCAGTAACGCAGTTTATAATGGCTGAGCAGACTTATTTTAACGTATTTTAAAAAGGATAATTATACTCCCAAGATACAAGTTTGAAAGTTGAAAACTCCAAAAGTTTTGAACAATTAATCCTACGACAAGAAAACAAAGTGAAAGCTAGTTCCTGAATCCCTGCTGTGACTGCATTTACATAAAGATGGAATCGCTCCCACGAACTCCTACTTTGAGGAAAAGGCCTGGAGAGAGCAGAGGAAAATGAACGTGCCTATATTAGGAGCTCACGTTCCCTAAAAGGTAAACATAAGATGACACGCTTGTAATTTTGGTACTCTGAATCATCTGAAGCTTTGACCAATATAGAAACAAAGTAGATGCACAGACTGTCTATGGTTTGATGAGCATTTGTCTCAGTACTGCTATGGAGAGAGAAGAATCAGAAGCCTCCATCCCTACCCTCTGCCTGACAACTCTCTCCTCCTTGCTATCACTTCACCTTATGCATTGCCCCAACACAGCCGTTTCTACGGAGGCAGAGGAGATCAGATCAGTCAAGGAAACTGACTGAGAAGTAATGCAGAAATATGCTGTTAATTTTCAGTTAATTACTGTTAATTACTCCTGAGTAAAAACTGAAACACAGAATTATTTGAGTTCACTTTAATTTATCAAAAGCCTAAGACTCATACATAAACTCTTGCTATAAACTATGCATAAGTTCAAGAAAAAGACATTAGCATTGCTGTTTTGCCTCAGAGGGATAAAAATGCTCTCAAATTCAGATCAAAATAAAACTCAAACTACGGTAATTACACCATCCGCTCTCTCCTAAGCTTTATGTTAGGAGTTGAGAACAGAAGTGCCCCATTGCAATTCTACCTTCAGAAGACATCGACCATTATGCATGACAGCTAGTACAGCAATCTCAACACCCCTCAAAATGTAGAGGGCAGAGGGGAGGGGAATCTGTTTTAAAGGTCACGTACAATCGGTATAGAAAGATGTAGACGTCTTGTCCCAGATCAGAAGAAAAAAAATACACGTGCATAAGCGCTCGCACACATACAACAATAAAACCCAACCACAACCACACCACCCTTCTCTGCACTTCTGGACATCATGAAAAGAAGTGATGAATACTTTGACTACATCCCCCATTCCCTTTCATTCCCTCTTTATTGCGAGGTCAAGGATCCCCAAAACAGCCTAAAGAAATTCTTCTACTTTTTCAAATAAAGATAAGCAACAAAACCTACTGCACTCACTTATCACTAGTCTTAGCACAGTCCTAATACTGTAGATGTTTTAGAGAATTTACTGTTTCTTAACCCATACGGCTTCCACACGATCACTTTCATAACAACTTTATTTTCTCCTCTTTAATTTTTTAAACATCAATACATTTGAATAGTCCTTTTCGAACCAACATTAAGTATAAATCACTATAAAAAAAAGTTTGGGTTTGTTTTGTTTGTTTTTAAATGCAAGAGATTACTCTTGACTTTCTGGTTACCCCATGAAATGATTAAGGTATGATTATGGAATAATATTGACACATTTTAAAGTGACCAATGTATTTAGTATCTGCAAGACATGCTGTCTAATTCGGGAAACTCTCAAATAACATGAACCACTGCAAACCTTATCTTGCTTTTTATCTTCTGATTCATTACTGGACAATCTTGTCTTAAGTTTCACTGAGCCTTCTTTAAAGATATCTCCAAACCCAACACCTCGGATTTTCTTTGGCTGTGCAATTGGTCCAGATCCAGGTTCGCTTCCATTTCCCGGAGAGGCCACAGGTGAGGTAGGACCGCTGAAAACAGACTCTGAAATTAGAAAAAGAGTTTTAATATCTGAAATTATTTCTTTTCTCTTAGGGAAAAGTCACACAGCTGTCAGACAATCTAGCAAGAGTAGTACAAAGTATATTATTACAGTTCTCATCCCCTGCATTTTCTTCTAGTTGTAGGATTAAGCATAAGACCATTTCAAATGCCACTATTATTGCACTGAATTTTCTGGCAACTAGAATTAGATCACTATTTTTTCTTATCATTTCAGATAACATCCAAACTGCGCAATCTGTTATTATCAACGTTAAATTTTTCATTAATTTTATGAACCATTGCTTGCGCATTCTTTTGAAAGTGTGTTGTTCAACATTGCATATAAAAGCTTGTCCACTGCTGCACAGCTATAGCTGCTGAAAACAATTACCAGTAAGATCCACAATGAGCCCATATCGAGTCCTACCACACTTTTACAGCAAAAAGAAAATTTTGTTTCAGGAACAGAAAGTGGAATCTATTAAGGCACTGAAGTGAAACCTTTTTATTCCTCAAAACGAACTACTAAAATATCTGAGAAAGTTTCTTATTAATTATGACTTGGGTAACTTTTAAACCTGATAACACTTCAGGACATATATGTTTAACTCATTAAAAATAACTCAGATATAGTCATTTGATTTAATCACTGTTAGAAAACACATGTATTTAGGATTCTTTTCATCATCTTTCAAATTTAAAGGGCAAAGTTTATTCTTCCTCAAAAAACCAAGTTTAGAGAAGAACTGAATGTAGGTGTTAGAAGCCGCTAAGACAACACTTGTTTAATTTGTCTATTGCTCAAATCTCTTAAAACCTACAAACTAGTATTTATAGACAAACTACCTGTAAGTGCAGAATTCCACAAGAAAGTCATCTGAAACCTACAGAACTTCGCAACTCAAACTCAAAATAGTTTCCATATAAGCTTTTAGCCTTTCAACTAAGTTCTTTCTAGTGTACAAATGCCTGGGAACTGCAATAAAGATTTAAGCAGATTTCTTCCTTCAGTTATAAATTTAAGGGATTTTGATAATACTGTGATATTGCACACCCTCTTAGCTTCAATTTCTCATCTTTTCTCAACCACGGTATTCTTTACTTAGTTGCTCCTCCTCTTACATGTCTAAAAGATAACCAGAAATTTCATTAATGAGAATATTCCAAGCTGCATCTTTGTTTGAAAGAACACAGCTCAGTCAATGTGGCACTTTGTTTCTCAGGAATGGGGAGAGATATACTTGAGATCCTGACTGTGAAGTACTGAGCATTAAATAAAACCCTTTGGGGGTGTGAGAAGGTGGAAGTCACGTTGTGTTAGTTACTGACAGAAAATACAATCACTTTGAACTACTGTTAATTCCTAAATAGATCAATGAGACTTAAGACTGAGATATGTATTTGTAAATTTATCTTACCAGGTGCCACTAAACTTAGTGATCTTGAACTCCAATAAGATAGCTATTGAACCATTTGGGACTGCTCAAATCAAAGAATTCATGGTTAGCATTATTTCAACTGTTTCCAGAATTTACAGAAGAAGAAAAAGAAAAAAAATTATTCAAGCCAGATTTTTCTTTCCCATCTGTGAGCACATCCTTGTCAGAAACAAGTAACAGAGAACATTGTAAATGAGAGTGCACATTACTACAAAAATCTTTGTCCTTTAAACGTTATCAAGGGAATTAATGCCTAAAGATGGCTGTAAGACACCATGGACAAAGAATGTTCTCATTTCAGCAGTATCACGTCACGAGTCCCCAGCCTTCAAACAGGTCTTCAAAGGCTGTGTGTCTCTAAAGTACAGTTTCAAGGGAAAGGACCAAGCCATTTCCTTTAGAGTATGCACCTGCTTGGCACCCACTCAACATACAACTTCTGTTCAACTGCAGAGACTTCTACTTCTATCTTAGCTATACAGTCACAGCCCTAAATGAATGGCTGAATTTAAATACTGTCTAAAAAAAAAACCACCAAGCAGTATGTCTGATCCATTGTCCATTTTTATATTTTAGTTAGAACGTACATCGAAAACACTTTATGCTTAGAATTAAATATAGTAAGAAACCGAGGCCTTCTTCCCAGGATTCGTTTTAAGTTGAGGCTCTTTAAATGGTTTGGTTTATACATTTTAAGTTTCAACTGAACATGGTCAGAAGCTTGAGTTTTCAATGTCAGCAGACTCATGTCTAGGATAATGAGATGCTAAAGCAAAAAACTGTTGAATTAAAATATAATTTTATATCCCAGTATTGCAAAAGCTCCCCCTGCAAATATGATAAAATTTCTAGTAATAAAATGCAGAATACATATTTGTAAGATCAAGGAATTGCCTTAATTCTAATTTTATTAGAAATGTATTAGAAGAAAATTACACAACTTCAATCCTCAGTAGCAATATTTTCTAGAAAAAACACACTCAGGCAGGCTCCCAGGAAGCATGAATTCTTTACTACCTTTGTTCCACTAAAACCATAATGTTCCAAGTTAAACAGAAAATGTAAAATGACTCTGGTAAGGATTTACAACAAATCAGTTTACCACCTGTGTCATCCAGAGTATCCTGTGTTTCTCCATCATCCATCAATTCCAATTCTTTCACAAAGTTTGAAGGAAACAATCCTGACTTGCCATTTAGTGTTCCACTCCACCAGCCTTCTTCTACCTGCGTAGAAAGATTTTGCACATTACCAGTAAAGCAAAAGTAAACCCAAATACAACTGCTGTTTCAACATTCAACTATTGTAAACTAAGCAATTTTAGAAATACATATGTGTCACTTATAACTCTGGGAGAGTTCAAGGGACTATAATTTCTCCTCAAAAGAAATCTGCCAAAGATGTAGAACCACTAGGCCAAAGAAGAACAAGAAAATCATTGCCTGTCACTTCTATCACCACACCAATGATCCTGAAACGTAAGACCAGTCCTACACCAATTAATCCAGAGGAGCAGCAAAATGTCAGTTCTCTCAGAAAAAAACACAGAACAACAAGTATTATTCACTTCACAGAGGAAGAATATATTAAAGTGATTACAGAATAAAGATTTTTACCTGCATCTTGGATTCGCAAGGAAATTTTCATTCAGCCTTGCTGCCCACCTGTCTCTTCTGTATTGTTCACTTTCCGCTCTCCCCCTTTCCGCTGGCCTGGTATTCATTGGCCAGCTTCAAGCAATTTTGATCAAGTTTCAAATATAAAATTTCAACAAGTTTCATTGGATAGAATAGAGAAAAGTCCTTAACATTATAGAGTAATAGGCAACTAAGCTGCTATCCTTTCTTTCTGGCAGGAGACAGTTGGCCAAACAGCACATGCACAGCTCCAAACCAGCCAGAAGATATGAATCCTTCCCCTACTCAGCTGGCCTGCCAACAACAACAGCTGAGAGACGCAAAGATTTTCTGGCCACATGCAAAAGTCCTTCATGTACAAACCTGCCGGATGCCAAGTTTTGTTAGCTTTGCTATCCACAATGCAACTTATTTTCACACTGGACACCTGCTCAGCAACTCAAGAACACAATGACTCTGCAATACTCTGTTATGTGGCCGGATTCCTGGTGCGTAAGTTCACTGCAATGCTCCAAAATTTACTGGAGGAACTTATGAAAATCCTCCAGTCAAAGCAGAATTAATAGAAGCTAGGCCTGTGTAGCAGATAGTTGCCAGCAGATCCTGTAAGAATTGGGCTCTTCAATTTGTTTACGAACAGTTTTCAAGACATCTCTAAATTGAGGCTACCTGCCTAATGAGCACCACTGAAAAAAAAAAAAAACACTCTCAAGAATGAAACAAGTTTTCAAAATATTTAATTTTAGTTGCTCTATTTTGAGACTGGAAAATGTTTTTAAATGAGAAAGAAAAGCAGCAGAAGAAAAAAGCAACAGTGGTTGTTTACATAATCTTTTTTTAGTCTTGTGTTCTAGGTCACTATGCCTGACACAGACATAATTTTTAAACATTAGCCTATCTCCAGGCAAGTGAATCGCATGCAAAACTTGGCAGCCGCAAAGAGAGGCATAGAACAAAAAAGAACATCTCTCGTTTTAAAGACATTTTGGTTCTCAAATATAGCTTTTTCTCTAGATGGTTCAAATTGAGAATTTGGTCCTCCAAACAAAATTTGAAGCACAGACCACTGACAAGTGCTGACTGGGCTTTAGCTCCTCTTGCTTCACATGCTACAGTACTCAAAATTAAAATATGTTACACAAAACTAAAACTTGACTCATGAATGCCATCAAAGAGCCAAAAGCAGGGGACTTTTAATGCTTCTGACACAGAAAGTGACTCAAGCTTCCATTCCCTCTTCTGCTATGAACTGAGGCTAGCAAAGCCGTGAACCGACCAGCAAGGCAAGCGGCAATTGAGAGACCATCAGAAATAGCACAAAAGTTTCTTGAGCATGCTGTCTTGCAACAAACAAATCAACCAACCAAAAAAAACCCCAAACCTCAGCCACTTATATACCAATTATACTACCAGAGGAGGTGCCTTTAACCAACATCAAAAAGCAGGCAATAAGGCTCAAATCACTTTAGTAGGGATTATGAAGCATCTATGGATTTCTGGATTATAACACTTAAGTGTGATGATTTCAGAACTCAACCTTCCATTTCAAAAATCTTACTACATAATAAAATTTCCACAAGAGGGAGTTACAGTTCTGGTACATTCATATCAGTACTTTTTTTGTGTGTATGGTACGTGAATTTCATCAGTTTATTTCTATAAAAAGATAGAAACTCAAGACTTCCAAGCAAAGAGGAAAAAAAATTTAGAACAAGCAGTTTCCTCCAATCTGATAAAACACAGTTGTATGAAATTAGCTTACAGCAGGGTTAAAAGTAGATTATGCTTGACAACAGCATGCAAATATTACAAGTATAATATAAACCAAAATAGATTTACTACTTATTTCTGCGTCTGGCAGGAGGAAGGGGAAAGGAAAGATATGAAGCAGAAACAAAAGATTTATGGAAATTATACAGTTGTAACATGCACTTTAAGTGTGTATTTTGCATTCATAATCTACATGTTACATTAAAATATACATATATATAGCGTATATGTTTACATAAACAAGAAGCACCACCACCCTACAGATCAGCCACTACGCAATGCAACAACCTTCTTCCCCAACAGCTACTTCTGATCTTATAATCTGCTTTCTCTTTAATATTAGTCATTTAATTTCTGAACCTATCTGCCTCCAGCTGCGATTTCATGAACATTAGTGCAAGTTACTAACTACGCAATTTGTAAAAACAATTGTTAAGTGTTAAATACTGGAAAATTTACAGGGGTGACAGGTAGAAATGATCCCCTTGCAGGAGTTAGTTCCACTTCATCATTTTCTCTGTAAAAAAAGTCACTAAATACTCTTTCCTTGAAGTAATAAGTCTATCTGCATATATAATAGCACCTTTTATATCTAAAGGAAAACAAGGACCATTGTACGTTAACGAAGACGGGTTTTCTGATACAAATTATCTCAGCATATTCTACGACCTATGGTATTTTCTAAAATTCTTCACATTTCTTGTCCGTTAGTACAGTTTTGTGAAGCAGATGTCAGATGTAGAACAGATTTATCCTACATCATGATAAAAACACATCTCCTACAGCATCATAAGCTGTCACACTACAGTATGTAAACAGCTCTGTGCTAATAGTTAGCTAAAATATTTTTCTACCTAATAATATTTGATAAGCAGTCATCCTCAGAACTGCCTCCACAGTTATACAGCAACTCATCGCAGCAATTCAGTCTAATTCAGTCACTAAAACACTGCTGGAGTAAAGGCACTGACTATCCAAGTGTAGAGCATATGCACTGGAAGAATATAACCTAAATATAGTTAAAAAAAAAGAAAAAAGCATATAGCCCTAGTAGCAATGTAAGTAGTACAAGCTGGCTACTACAAGTTTGTATTTTCAAATCATTAAGCTAAGTGGATTTCCTGTAAGTGATTTTTTTTTTTTTTTTTTTTTTTTTTTTTTTTTTTTTTTTTTTTTTTTTTTTTTTTTTTTTTTTTTTTTAGAGAAATTGATGTGTTCCCAGCACTCCTTCTGAGGGAAAGATTGCTATAGAAAGGTTTTCCTTGGTCTGTAGAGTATCATGAAAATAGCTGAAGTATGTCATCTTCGAAATATTTATTCTTTGTTAAAATTAGCCAGGTGGGATACATCAAGGTAGAATTGCTGTGATCTTTTTGTTCTGTTTGGCTACTTATTCTTCTCTGATACATCAGATAAACCTCCCTGCCAATAATTCAGAATGTTAACATGCAAGACCTGAAATAGAAGTTTCTACAATAATTTGCTGCACACGAATACAGCCCATTGAATGATCCAACATAACTATTTACAAAGTCACAGCTACGGTATCTGTACATTATTCTCAGATGGAACTAGTGATTTAGTACTCCAGAAGTTACCCTGGAGTATTCATTTACAAGAAGCCCACACTATGGTGTTTATGAATTGTGTTTTTCAGTGAGCAAGTTTGACAAGTCACTTGCTCTGTGTTCTCAAAAAGCTAATAGAATAAATTCTAGAAATACTTAGTGCAAACACTAAGTTTAGTTAAAGGCATAGCATTTTCTTTGCTATGAGAACGGAAGAGTCACTCCTAGCAACCTACAGCATGTTGGAGAGTCAGCACTCTCTTTGACAGAAGCCATCCATGTCAAAACTGAAATCACATAAAGTTACCTCAAGAAGTAAAATCTTCTCCTTTCTCAGATTCTTAGGGAGACAGCAAGGAGAGACTGTACCAGTGAAGGACAGAATAAGCTGGGTAGAAGTTTTCCATTTAGTTCTAAAAGGATTCCTTGCAAGATCACTCTAGACTTTTACACAGGTTTCCATGTAGATTTACCTTTTGTAAGAGATATTCTTCCCACCTGTTAAAGTCTCCCACAACACAAGTTGCTATTCAATGGAACAGATACCAAGGAAGTATACAGTTAGGAACAACAACAAAGATCTCTCAGATACATAGGGCTGCTGGCATCAGGTTTTGAATAACAAGACAGATCTTTAATTGTATTTCATAATCAGTGGGGAAGGGAAGCAATGGAAATACAAATGCATTCAATGACACGTTCTTATCTTCCATATTTTTGGGCAAGTGGGTTTGTATTGCTTGTTGCACTGACTACTGTTACTATCTTGATCAGTTCAAAGTTTGAATGATGAAAGACTTTACAGGAAAGCGCAGAACTGGAAAATCAGGTCAAATAACATTTTTCACCTAAACCAAGTTAGAGTATGTAGAGTTATAGGCAACTGGTCAAATGTTTTTCAGCTTAACTGCCCTAGAAGCAAGGATCACAGACAGGGCCAAAGAACTGTAAGAGCCTTTAGAAAAAGAAGTCAATGTAAAGGATCATAATTAATTGCTGCAAAGATCAAATACTTCCTTTACACATCTAGTATGTATTGATTTAGGATTAGAACCTGAGAGAAAGAACTTCTAAACTATCAATTTCAGCCTTCAGATTTCCTACGCTTTCTCCAGTATTGTTGTAATTCAAGTATTCTGCCAAAAAACAATTTCACTTTTGGTCAAATGAAGAGATGATCAGTTCTGTAAAACAGCTTACCTCTTCACTGATGTCAATAACATCCCCCAGTTTGAGTTCCAGTTCATCCTCATTCCGCGGAATGTATTCAAACAGCACTTTACACTGCCGCTTCTTGGACCCTGATGGGGGGGGGGAACCACACACACACACAAAAATAAGAACACTTAAAAAGAATTATTTTTTCTACGCTCCCCTCTCCTGAGGATCAAACTTGACTAGAACACTTGGAAATCATCACAAAAAGCTAACTACATGAGTTTTGTCTCGAGTTTTCCAGTTTGCTTGCCCCACTTAAACTAGGTAGCTGTACCTTAGACGCAGCTTGAAAATATTGTTTCCCACACTCCCAATTACAAATGGGTAAACATTACACTGCCAATTACCAATATGCTATAAAAAATACAATGACATAAGCAAGTCAGATAAGCACTCAGTTCAATGATTTTCAAGCTATTTCCTGACTAAAATCGGGAAGAATCACAATAGCAGTCAGTTACAGCATTAGCACTTGCCTGAAAGAAAAAAAATCGGCAAAATTTGAGACCTCAATGTTTAAGCAGTCCCAAGAGAAATAACAAGGGTTTTATTCTGCATAACACTAAAATTCTGCCTTATAATGAAGATTGTGCTAATTACAGGTTTGGGGTAATGTTAACATTTGTCTTGCTCCGATTTCAAAATCCAAATTAATTTCATCTAAGAACACAAAAAAAACCCCACACATACACACACTTTTTCCCAGTGCCAGTATGGAGTTGGAAAATTAGATCTATACTTCATTTAGCAGTGTTTCACAAAGGCAAAACTAAAATAAATAGTATTTGACAGACTGTTTGCCACAAGTCATTTAAGCCGTGCAGACATTAAAGATACGATAACACACTGACAGGGGAAAACATTCAGCTGGCTTCCAACAACCTCACCAGCCACCTATGTGTGAACCTAAGATTACACAATTATCCTACACATAGCACAGGCTTTTAGGCTTTTCTTCTTCAAAGGCCATCTCTTCCAGGCCTTTTCCAGAACACAACAGCCCGCAAACTTTTGAAGGCAACCATCATCTTGAGCTCCATACATACTCTACACTAACTCCTTATCCCTCCCCTCAAAACAATCTACCACCAAGTTTAAGTGAAAAAAACAGTAAAAAAATAAAAGACTTTATATAGATTACATTTGTTTAAGTGGTGAAGCTCATAGCGGCTGTATAATTCCTATACTTCCTCTTACACTTTGCACTCCATCCATTCTCAAACTTCAGCAATTAAGATTAGCTAAGTGAAAACATGACAAATAGAAATACAACCTCTGAATGTGTTCCTTGTCCTATTATAGTACTGTTGGAGATCCAAAGTCAGAAGTTTGGAGACTGCCACACCCAGTCTTCTCAGTATGAAGCAACCCAGAGGTCTGAGTAATATTCAGCATCTAAAATTTCTGAGGGCTCACCTAATTAAGAAGCATTTTCCTACACACTAGTATATGACCTCTACTCTCAAGAGAAAAAAAAAAAGTAGGAAATAAAGCAAAAATTTTATAAAGGTCTATGGGTTATCTCTATTGACGCGTCATTGCCCACATAATACGCCCTCCTAGTTACTCTGCTGAAATTCATTATCAGTCAAGAAGGATCATTAGGTTAGCAGAAGTTGAAATAAATGGTTCATGGGCCTTTACTACCTCCTACTGCCCTTTCAGGTCTCCTCCTTTGAATGGCAGGCTTAGGGCTGTCTTCACATCTGCTCTATATTGCTTTTACTTGCTTAAGCTAGAGTAAGCAAGCAAAAATTCGAGATGGCTGCACATGCTTCTCTACCTTAAAGAGAACAGACAGATTGGTACCTTGAGGAAAAAAAAAAAAGTAAATTAAAGTCATGTGGCCATTGGTTTACATCTAATTTCAGCCCTCCTGTTTATACTTTAATTCTCTGTTTTTAGGGAATGAAGAAAGAAAAAAACCAAATGCATTGCATATCTAGAAGGAGCTCTCACTGCAGTATTTTTTTTCAGTTACATCCATTTTAGGAAGTACGGTGTTCCAGTTTTGGAAAATCCTTAGATTAACATAGGAAGTTAACTGATCAGGTAAAAAACAATCCTTCAGCTTCATACAGTAGAGCAAGACTGTCGGACTGGTAGCCCCAGAGCAATTCATCTGCTTCCAAAACAACTTGTCTCACATGAGGTTTTGTTTGTTTTGTGCAAGATAAAGCAAATTCATCCCTTTGTTATCACAAGTTAGTGCACCCTCTATATTTCTATTTTCCTGAATAAATACAGCAATTTAACTCATAGGAACACTGCATGCAGCTTATTCATCTGATATAAAACGTTCACATTCAATGAGAATTGTGTTTGAAAACAACACATGGAACTTCCTAGGTAGATAAAACCTAAGACAGAACACAGGAGAAACTTGCTGTTATTCTTAAAGACACTTAACTTTGTTTTTAACACTGTAAACCTCATTTTGCCAAGTTAGAACTAGAAACCGAAAGATGACTAAAGCACTAAAAACCTTTTGAGGGGAGTGAGTGATTGCCCAGGCAAAGAGGCTAAGAACAAAAAGGATCTGCAGAAGCTGTTAAATAGTTTTCCAGGAAAGAGGGAACAGCTAGTAAAATGGAAACGTGAGATCATGATTATGCCAATTACACTGTTCTGTGTTTTTGATTTTTCTGTTTTGTTTTTAAAAATATGTATTGTTTTACAATTAATAATACATCTTAATACATCTGTTTAAGGATGGTGTCTTAACACTATTTTCTTCTAGGGGAATGAGGATGTCCACAGCACCGCTGAGTTTGAGATCAAATTGTATCTACTACCCTGACCATGGTCACCTAGCAGTCAGCACAAGAAAGAGAAAATTGTTGAAAGACAGGATTGTTCAAAGGTTAAGAAGACCGGAACAAGTATGAGGCTATGTTAAACTGGTATTGGATCAAACTGATTCCTTTTTGGAACCTGGCTGCATTACTCTAGGAAAAGCGTTAATCTTCAAGATTAGATTTTCAAAAGTCTGTTGATGTAAGCATCTAACCGGCACATACATGCTGTTGCCAACAAATGTATACAGAGCAGATTCACAAAAAAGTTCTTTTGAAGATAAGGTCATTAGCAGCCTAGGAGAAGGCTTCGACAAACTTGTAAATCTGGTGGGCTCATTTTAGGGCTTTAAAAGATGGCTAGCAGCCCTTTTCCTTTTATGGGCAATAACTCAGAGCATAAACATACCAAAACCAGTAAGTTATGAAATTAAAACAAGAAAAAAACAAAAACAAAAAAGTAAGCTTTAATCATAAATGCCTGCAATTCATTACAATAGAGATGAAGCCAGACTAATTTAGAGGAATCTGTCTTGTAAAATTGAGACATCCAAATACAGATCACAAGTCAGTTTTCTGGGTACAGCAAATATTAAGTTTTCCGCTCCTGTGTTTTAATCAGCTTGACTCAAACACTGGCATCACACCCTAGGAACTACAGACAGGGAGGTACAAAAGTCTCCTCCACTGGCCATCCTGGGGTTAAACTTACAGTCAAAGGAAGACTTCTACTACCTTAATTCTTAGGTATCACCAAATCTGTTCATCCAACTTCACCTTGTTTCACACTACAAGCAAACTTCCTAAACAAGAGGAACCTAAACTCAAGAGTAACAGTATTTCCTTGTTAAAGCCTTATATCGTTATCAAAAATTTTCTAGTCAGAAATAACAACCCCAGGACATTTTCCAATTATCATGAACAGACCTTCGGTTCTCATTCAGGTACTTTACAAAACAAAGAGGGCCCATGTGAAATCACAGAAAACAACCGAGAAGGACTGTTGCTCTAGGCTGATCAAAAAAATTAAGGTAATATTCTCTAGATTCTAGAAGGGGTCTAAAATTCTGCTCCCGTAAGAATTCCTTACTGCTGCTGTCATTAAGAACTACATATAAGCTTTGCATGCATTCGGCACAGAATTTGGCTTAGAATGTAAAATAACTCCTACGTCCCTAGCTTTCTGTACAGCCTTAAAACTAAGCTAGGCATTAAGCAATAATGTTTTATTAAAAAAATTACACTTCAGCAGCCTATGCAATTAAAGGAAATGGAAAGACTACATACTCTTCTTGAAGTTTTTGGACTGGGGATGAGGCTGAAATCCTCCTGCTGGAAGCCCATAGGTGCTCATACGCTGCACAAGACTTGCTACGTTGCCAGATTTCTCCCTCCTGACTGGTAGGACGTCATCCTTGGGTTCTACATCCTTCTTCACTTCCTGAAACAAGACATTTAAAAGATTAAGGCCATTTAAATTACCCAAGATGTCATAGTGCTTTTAATGAGCCACTCTATAGCCTACCAAATTTCAACTGTACTTACCATTTGGTGCATAATGATATACAATACTTGACAAACATGGTATCCTGCATCTAAACATACTAAAGGTCTTCATAAACAGGAATCTTCCACACAATCACGTTAGGAAACAAGCAAGTCAATGTGCCAAGAAAACTCAAACAGGGGCAGCATTCTAGTTATTTACTGCAATCCTAAGTAAATTTTTGAGCCTGGAAAAGTCACATTACCACAACTTTGAAGGCATGGCTTATATTAAAATTTTTTTGTCAATTGTAAGAATACAACCTCAATTACAGATCCATGGTTTACAGTACTAAATAAAAATCTAGCACATAAGTCTTTATTAACAGATCATCTCTGCCTCAGAAAGCTCAGAGGTTGTTTACAGACAAGATGCAATAGTACTACTGCTGGAAGATGACTAGAAAAGAAAACAGGATACATAAAATAAGTGGGATTCGGGTGGAGGGTGTAGGAGGAAAGTAATAGAAAACAATATTTCTGATAAATGTTTCCCATCCTCCTATCAAATACTGCGTTAACACCTTAATTTAGGAGGAAGGCACTAATGAATACAAAGCGGCCTATAAATGAGAAAGCATCAGTTCTTGACAAAAAAGGTCCTATATTCAGCAGTTACTCTACTACATTAACTCATTAAATGAGACTATGTGAGAAGGAATACTTTGGGGCGTGGGGGAAAGGACAATGAATGGCTTAACATAAGAAATAACCTGGTCAGACCAATGGTCCATCTAGTCCAGAATACCCCTCCCGATAGTGGCAGTATGAGATGTTATTTAGAGAGAGCAAGCATGCTATCCTAAGTGCTTTCTGCTGTCTTTTCCTCTTACATTCCCCAAGCACCCATAAGGGTTTCATTAGAAAAGTACATCTCACCCATTCCCTTTAGCATCTAGCAATAAATTTGTCTAATCCCTTTCTAAACCCATTATCCTGCCTGCCCCCATAGCTGCCCATGGCAATAAATTCCAGGTATTCACTCCCTCCTATATAAAGGAGTTTCTCTCTCATCTGTGTTAAACTGACACCTCAGCTAGTCCGAGTCTCTCCTGTTCAGTTTTGGTATTTGAGGAGCTGCAATTCTGCATTCAGTTTATCACTTCCCTTCATGGTTGTGTAAACGTTGACCATATCCCACCTTAGTCTTATCCTCTCAGCTGAAGAGCTCCAGTCTTTTCAGCCCCAGTCCCACAAGGCAGCTGCACCATCCCCTTAAACATTTCAGCATTTTTCCCTGTCTTGTTCTCAATAGCCTTCCTGATAAGGCCCAGCATCCTGCTGGCTTTTGGGGTGTCATTGCAAGAGAAGCTGATGATTTCAAAGAACTGAAAACGACCACACCAGAACATTCATGAGCTGATGTTCAGCTTGGAACTGGAAGCTGCATATAGGCATGTAATAGGTTACCTTTCCTTCCATACATTACCTGGCCTTTATCTACCTACAGGCTCACCTGCCACCTTTTTGCCCACTCAGCTCCTTGCCATCATCATGTAACTACCAGAAGGAGTTTAATGGCATTCACAAAAATGCAGATTCCACAGTCAAATCCCTTCTCCAGCTCATTGCAGATGCTGCTGAACAAAACTGGCAACAGACCACATACCCAAAGGATCCCACTGCTGACTCTTCTCTGAGAAGTCCTTTCCTTCTTAATCTTGAAGACCACCTTTCAGCCCATAAAAGGGCTTTTGCTTTAATCTCATTTCTTGAAGTTCACTTCTTTAATAACTTGATGTAAAACTCTAACAAAGATTTCCTGATAATGCAAGTGTATTATGTTCACTGGCTGTCATTTATCTGTATGCTTATTAACACTCTCACAGCTCTGTAGCATTCCCAACTGCTACTCTGATAGAAGTCCACCAGCTGTCCACAGCTGGATAACATCTTGAGGAAAGTAAATATCCATTGTTAAAGTTTATTATACAAATAATCACTTTGCACCTTTCTGTGATCCACTTCAGAACAATTCTCACATCCATCACCAGTAGCCACTGGTCAGCAATTCCAGTAGTTATTTCAGCTACTTCAGTAGAATATGTAATACTATTTGAAAACAATAGAGATAACATACACATACTAACTGATATCCACCAAATGCTTAAATATGAGCTCTCAAACAACAAAACCATGTGCATCTCTGAAACGCTAAAAATACTAGAACTGCATTTGCCAGGATTTACCCGATACTTTTTAGAACATGAAAACCTAGGCTACTGACTGGAACTGTTCAGCTGGAAAACTCAATAGGCCCAGAAAGATCCCGACTGCTTTCAAACATACCAAGTCAAACAGTCCAAGGCACCTTCCTGTTTCCCAAAAGGACAGAGAAGGGTAGAATAAGAAAGGCCTAAAGAACAAGTTATTCCTCCCACTCGCTTACATTACACAAAAGATCCTTAACAAGCAAGCGGTTCCTAATGTTTCTCTCTCCGATTTATTGAGCCTTCTTCTCCTGATCAGCCTGTTCTACAGAAACCTCATCTTCCCAGTCAAAAAGAGAGCCAGAAAAGCAAAGCATGATGACTACCTCTTTCAAATGGGCGTTTTAAATAAAGATTTTGTCATTCTTCGTCTATTAATCTTTTTTTTGGCCAGTTGTTTGAAAGTCTGATAAACCATTTAAAGTTGGCTATAAATAAAAAGTTTGCCACCCAAAAAAGCCTCCTACCTAGCTGCCTTACCGACAAGGCCATTCCGCTCTACTGAAAAACATACTGCCATTTGAGAACTAGTCTAGAGTGGCTCCCTCCCTGGGTTTATGGTAAAAGTCTTCTACTATGGAGCTTACATAACCTCCAAAACTTCCAGCTGCTCCAAGAATAAATGTTTCTCCATTTAACTTATTTTTCAGTTATAAGACTCTCCTACGAGGAGTCTGTTATAGGCTCCTTCCCCCAAGTTTGTACTAATGCTGTACTTCAAGCAACTTCAGAAGCAGCTGCTGTGATAACTTTGCAACATGCTTCATAAGCAGCATGAAGAAAGCTAAAATGAGATGGGGAAGCCATACACATGTAGCCTGGCCAAAAATATGACTGACTTTAAATAAAACACAGCTTACAGGTGCTAGAGGAGGCTTTAAGAAAAGTGCCTCCTTTATCAGCAATTTGAGGTAAGCAGACAATGTTTGAGGAATGCTTGAGCAATTTTCATATCTGGGTTCAGCTTGTAACTGAAGTGGTCACAGGAAGGAAATATTCAAATATTGACATAAAAAGACTACCAATGGCAATTATAACAGAAAATACAGAGGAATTAGTTTTAAAAAGAGATAAAAGACTTGTGAGCAACAGATACATGAGGAAAATCTTGAAGATACATCCAAAGATTAAGGATTTAATGACGGAGAATTCCACAGGCAGAAACCAAGAGAATGATCAGACACTGGTAGAAACTGGTATTATGAGACCCTACTAATGCAGTTAAGATATGACAGTTGAATACTTCAGTACGCAGACAGTTTCTCTAGGAAGTCCCTGTCTAATCCAAGATGCCTAAAAAGGAAACAGACAGTAAGGGAAAGACCAGGATGATTACGGGATGAAGACAGCACGAGAGCTGCAAACCAATCAGAAAAGATTTGCACTGAATAGATACTTGTGCAAGAGTCATTCATGTCCACTAGGCTTGATTCAAAGACAGTGGATAGTGGTACTTTAATTAATGGATTAGAAAATACACAGATAAAATTGGTTTGCAATGAAGGACAGTGGCTGGTGATAAATAAATCTAGTTTTGAAAAAAAAAATACTAGTGAAGAATGAGTTAGTAAGCAGTGTATGGATAAGCCAAAAACTTTTTCCAATATTTAACTTACTCCCTTTGGAAATGCCACGTAAAGCAAGCATCTTTTTGTTAAAAGAGAAACTTCAATGCTAATTACCTTTCCCAGAACATTAAAAACTACATTAAAACCCACGTAAAACAAATTCAGGAATCCCTCGTCTCCAGACCTAAGTTTGGCCCACTACACCAAAACCTGTAGTTCATCTCCATCCTCCAACGGCAGGAAAACTCCTCTAGATTCATTTTCAAAAGCATGCTTTAGGATGCTTTATCTAGGACACTTCCCAATCACCATTTCCAGGCATTTCATCTTGAATATCATTGTTATGACTCGCTGACCTTTTGAACATATAAACATTTTACAGAGGAAAATCATTTCTAACCAAGACATATCACAGTTTGGATCTTGGAAATTGACACTAATAATTTACCCAGATGTCAAAGATCCCTATCAACTCTGCAATGCCTAAGTCTCTGCCCAAACAGCTGGCTTGAGTTTAAGTTGCTGGAAAACACTGCACACAAGCCTAATGTCTGCATCCACACTAAAAAGTCCCATTTATCATTATATCTATTCTGAAATTCCAAAATTCCTATTCATTCACTTTGGAACAAGAAAGGTTTCAGGGCTGGGGTTTAAGTTAAACCTGTACATCTAAACCAATAGATTCAGAGCTTGTGTTGTGACAATATCAATAAAAAGTTTCCAGGATACTGGACTGGTCAGCGTGTTACGAGATGAGGCCACCACTATTTGCCAGCCAGCAAAAACAAAACAGAAATTTGACATTAGCTGCAGCTGGAAATTTTAATATTTCTATTATGCCAGGCCACTACAGCTAAAGGCTTGTCAGCATTTCCATTAGCAACACAGATTTTATGCATTTATGATTTGGCAGTACAAGACCGCTACAGATTGTATCTTGGCATAAAACACACTCAAATCGTAAGTAACCACCCACACTTTCTGTTACAAAGTATAGCTCCAGTCACTAAGGTCTGTAAGTTTATCGAATCTCTGTTAAATGAATTTTCACAGCACTTTCACAAAATATGAAATCACTACCAGACTGTTATTTTAAAAATGTGTATAATTCTCAC